AAACCCTGGTCCGGGAAGATCCCACATGCCGCGGAGCAACTAAACCTATGTGCCACAACTACTGAGCCTGCGCTCTAGAGCCTGAAAACTACAACTACTGAAGCCCGCACGCCTAGAGCCCGTGCTCTGCTATAAAAGAAGCCACTGCAATGAAAAGCCCGCGCACCACAACAAAGAGTAGCCCCCGCTCTCCGCAACTAGAGAAAGCCCACACAAAGCAACAAAGACCCATCGCAGCCATAAATAAATAAATAAATAAATTTAAAATAAATAAATAAGTGCAATTTCAATCATAGTATCCACGGGATTTGGAGGAATTTGAAAGGATAAATTTGGGAAATTAGCTAAGAAATTTTGGGGGAAAATACGAAGGGGAGCTTGCCCTGTAAGAATATCAAAATATGAGACTGAAAACTGAAATCAGCCGAGTAGCTGAGCTTCTGGTACCACAAGTATTTAGAATCCCGTCACGGCAAAGGAGGAAGCCCTGGAACAGAAGAGAGTCTAGACTCAGACCCATGGCCGAGGTTTCAGACCCGTTGAGAGAGAGAGCCTGGATTATCCAGGCACAGGCATCTTCAATCAGGTACTCGTGAGCACTATGAGAAGGGTCAGGCATGGCCCAGGCCGTGGGGCTACCAGAGTGAAGAGGACCTGCCCCCATGCTCGTGAAAGTCATGCTCTAGCTGGGGAGAGGAGTAGTAAACAAATAAATAAAGTATAGACTGTAATAAATGCTAAGGAGGAAAGAAGCAGAGCATCTTGATAGAACATGGAAGAGGCTACTTTAGGTAGGTGGCGGGATAATTGAGGGTCCATTTGGAAAAAATAATGAACCAATAAACCTCAACAAATGAAACTACACAACTGCTGAGAAAATATTAAAGTTTTGCTTTTTTTTTTTTTTTTTTTTTTTTTGCGGTACATGGGCCTCTCACTGTTGTGGCCTCTCCCATTGCGGAGCACAGGCTCCGGACACGCAGGCTCAGTGGCCACGGCTCACGGGCCCAGCCACTCTGTGGCATGTGGGATCTTCCCGGACCGGGGCACAAACCCGTGTCCCCTGCATCGGCAGGCGGACTCGCAACCACTGCTCCACCAGGGAAGCCCTAAAGCTTTGCTTTTTAATCATATAGGGAAGAAGAGGGTTTGCCCAAGCGTACCATGACATCCAATATCCTTAAAGGAAAATATTAACATTTGATTACATAGAATGAGTAACTTCTATACCAAAAAAGACACCATAAACAAAATTTCAAGGAAAAAGAGATACCAGCTGCTGGGAGAAAATGTCAGCAACAAATATGTAAAAGAGAAATAAAAATATATAAAGATAATAAATAAAAATTATAATGTGTGAACAGAATTTAAAAAGACAAATAACTCAAGCTGGGTAAAGGATGTGAAGATATACAAATGACCAATAAATATATGCAGAGATACGCAACCTTACTGAATTATCTAAATTTAAAACACTAGTGAGATTCCATTTCGGTTTAGCAGACGGGCAAGTATTTTAATATAGAATATATTTACATTGTAATATCTGATGTTGGTAAGGTGAAGTTTAAAGAGAACAGTCATATGAATACTGTTCAGGGGGAATGTAAATTGACACAATCACTTAAGAGAATAACTGAGCAGGATTTATCAACAACTTTAAATATATTGTATACCCGTCCCCCCGACCAAAGTATTCCTACAAGCCAACTGAAATATTAACATAAATGTGAAACACTGCATAAAGATGGGAATGTTCCTTGCAGTCATATGTGAAATAGTGAAATATAGCAATGTACATTTCTACAGGAAAAACATGAAGTAGATGTATATCTCCATTATAGAGTATTAAGTGAAGAAAGTTGCATAAAACTATGTAAAATATAGTCCCATGGCGGAGGTGGGGGGAATTTATGTGTGCACATTGAAAAAAATCTGGAAGTATTTGCACCAAACCTAATATCAAGTGGAAAGTTCTAGAGAACAGATTGGTTTGTGTGAGAGAGACTTCTTAAAAATTCAGGACATCTGTATATTGTTAGCCTTTTTCTGCCTTGAGCATATCTTATTTTTATAATTTTAAAAGACATTTTTAAAAGGATATAGTGATAAATGGATTGGATCCTGGAACAGAAAAAGGGCATCAGTGGAAACACTGGTGAAATCCAAATCAACGGGAGTTGAGTTCATAGTAATGTACCATGTTGGTTTCTTAGTTGTGACAAATGTACCAGGGAAATGGAAGGCATTGACAGTGGCAGAAGTGGTAAGGGGTCTATAAGAATTCTCTGTATTATCTTCGCAACGTTTCTGTAAGCCTAACATTAATCTGAAATAAAAAATTGATTAGGAGAGAGAGACAGAGAGACAGGCTGGTATCCAAGTTCTGCTCTGGGAAGTGGAGGTGTAGGCTCACCCTTACCCCCACTGCAGCTGGACCAGCTTCCCGAAGATCCTGCCATAACCCCTGACCTTTATTTCCCCCACACACACCTTTTTTAAGACTTAAATTTTTAGAGCAGGCTTACGTTCACAGCAAAGCTGAAAGTACAGAGATTTCCCATTCACCCCCTTGCCCCACACCTGCACAGCTTCCCCCATTATCAGCATCTCCCATCAGAGTGGTACATTTGTTAGACCTGATGAATCTGCATTCATTGACACATCATTATCACCAAGAATCCATTGTTTATATTAGGGTTTGCTCTTCGTGCCCATATTCTATAGGTTTGAACAAATGTGGAATGACATGTATCCATTATTACAGTATCATAAGGGTATTTCCACTCCCCTAAAAATCCTCTGTGCTCTACCAGTTTATCCCCTCTCCCTGACCTAGCCTCTGGCAATCACTGACCTTTTTACTATTTCCATAGTTTTGCCTTTTTCAGAATGTTACGTACTTGGAATCATACAGTATGTAGCCTTTTCAGAATGGCTTCTATCACTTAGTAATATGGATTTAAGGTCCCTCTATGTCTTTTCAAGGCTTGATAGTTCATATCTTTTTAGCACTGAATAATATTCCATTGTCTGGATATACCACAGTTCATTTATCCATTCACCTACTGAAGGACATCCTGGTTGCTTCCAAGTTTTGGCAATTATGAATAAAGCTGCTCTAAACATCTGTGTGCAAGGTTTTGCGTGGAAATCAGTTTTCAGCTCCTTTGGGTAAATACCGACGAGCACAGTTTCTGGATCGTATGGTAAGAGAGTGTTTAGTTTTGTAAGAAACTGCCTAGCTGTGTTCGCACGTGGCTGGTCCATTTTGCGTTCCCACCAGCAGTGATGAGAGTCCCTGTTGCTCCACATCGTCATCCGCATTTGGTGCTGTTCTGAATTCTAGCCATTCTAATGAGTGTACACTGGTATCTTATTGCTTTTTTCATTTGCATTTCCTCGGTGACATACGATGTGGGACATCTTTTCACATGCTTATGTGTCATTTGTATATCTTCTTTAGTGAGGTATCTGGTAAACTTTAGCCCATTTTTGTTTTATTTTGTTTTTCGCTGTACGCCGGCCTCTCACTGCTGTGGCCTCTCCCGTTGCGGAGCACAGGCTCCGGACGTGCAGGCTCAGCGGTCATGGCTCACGGGCCTAGCCGCTCTGCGGCATGTGGGATCTTCCCGGACTGGGGCACGAACCCGCGTCCCCTGCATCGGCAGGCGGACTCCCGACCACTGCACCACCAGGGAAGCCCTAGCCCATTTTTTAATCATGTTATTTGTTTTCTTACTGTTGAGTTTTAAGAATTCTTTGTATAGAATTGGCTCTCCGTATCTGCATGTTCAGGATCCACAGATTCAACCTACCTCAGATGGAAAATATTTGAAAACAATCCACAAAGTTCCAAAAAGCAAACTTGAATTGGCCATGCACAGGCAACTATTTACATAGCATTTACATTATATTTACAACTATTTACATAGCATTAACATTGTATTAAGTATTATAAGTAATCTAAAAATTATTTAAAGTATACAGGAGGGTGTTCTTTGCAGATACCAGGCCATTCTGTATGAGGAATTTGAGCGCCCTCAGATTTTGCTATCTTGTTATCTTTTGCAGAGCAGCAATGTTTCATTTTAATGAAGTCCAGCTTATCACCTGTTTTCTTCGTGGATTGTACCTTTGGCATTGTATCTAATAAGTTATCACTATACCCAAGGGCATCTGAGTTTTCCCTTATGTGATCTTCTAGGAGTTTTATAGTTTTACGTTTACATTTAGGTCTGCGATCTGTTTCGAGTTAATTTTTGTGAAGGGTATAAAGTCTGTGTCTAGATTCATTTCTGCATGTGGATGTCCAGTAGTTTCAGCACCATTTGTTGAAAAGACTATCTTTGCTCCTTTGTTAAAGATCAATTGACTATATTAATATGAGTCCATTTCTGGACTTTTGATTTATTTGTCTGTTATTTCACTGATATCACACTATCTTGATTACTGTAGCTTTATAGTAAGTCTTGACATTAGGTAGTGTCAGTTCTCCAAATGTGTTCTTCTTCAATGTTGTGCTGGCTCTTCTAGGTCTTTTGCCCTCTCCACATAAACTTCAGAGTCAGTTTGTCAACATCCACAAAATAACTTGCTGGGCTTTTGACTGAGTCTTTGTTTTTTTACCTCTATCCTTTATCCCCAGATCCTGCCTTCTCAGCATCCCCTTCCAATTAGAGTGATATGGATAGGGGCTCAGGAGTGAGGCCTGGGGACTGCCGTGTAGAGTGGAGGAGATGGGTGGGGTTTTACAGTGGCAACAGGAAGCTCCACAATAATAAACAGGATGCACAAAATCTACCCTCCCTCACCCTTGTTCCCATTTTCTAGTGACCTCCAATGGGTGGAGCAGGCTGGATGGAAATTGAGAGGATAATTCTCTCTAATCCTCTTCCTTCCTGCAAGTCTTTCTTAGGTGTATGACTTTGCCTGACCGGAAGCGCCTGGAAAGAAGGGGCTGAGCCCCGAGTGACCACCTGCTTCTTCTCTCCGTTCAGACTCCACTTCCTGGTCTTTGACACGGAGGAGCTCCACGACGTGTTGCGCATCTGGGATGGGCCTGTGGAGAGTGGGGTTCTGCTGAAGGAGCTCAGTGGCCCGGCCCTGCCCAAGGACCTGCACAGCACCTTCAGCTTGGTCGTTCTGCAGTTCAGCACCGACTTCTTCACCAGCAAGCAGGGTTTTGCCATTCAGTTCTCAGGTCTGTGCCCACCTTCCGCCAGCCTCCATCCATCAATCCTGCCGTAACCCCCCTTCCTCCTCCCGCAAGTCCCTTCTTTCCTCTATCTCTCCACTCGGGTAAAGATATTTATTGAGCATTTGCTCTGTGCCTGGTCCATGGGTGGTGCTTGTTCTGATATCTGTGCCGAGCTTACCCTGAGTGGAGGGGAGACAGGTAGGTGAATAAACACTGACATACAAATCAACAAGTATCTGGAGGGAGAAATGTGAGCTATAATGGTCACCTTGGAGCATCAAGGAAGATGTTCCAGGAAAGGTGATGCCCAAGCTCCAACCGGAAGGGTGAGTAGAAGTTACAGAAGAAAATACAGTATTTCAAGGAGGGCATAGTCAACTGTGACGTGGATTTAGAGTTGCCATGGAGTTGGACTTGGAGGATTCGTGGGTCCTTATTAGATGAGAAAGAGAGAAAAGGGCATCCTGGGTGCAAAGAGCGTGTGAATGTGTGAGAGGCAGGATAACAGGCTCTGGAAGTGGAGGGTTGTCCACTGTGGCTGAAACGTGGAGAGTGGGGAGGGAGGCAGGGGAGGGACAGCTGACACTGGCTTGGAGCACAGTCACAGAAGAGCTGAGCTGACATGTCACACACTCTTGTTCTTAGTCTGGTGCACGTCTCCATAAGGACCGGAAGCCAAATACGAGTCATCTAAATTCAATTAATTATGTGCTGCGATAGCCAGCTATGGAGGAGCGTGACAGCGAGCTACCAAAAATGGGCAATGCTCAAACATCCAAGTCCCAGTACTGGCTCGTTTCTATGATTGGTCCTGCCTCTCCCTGCGATGCATCATCTCATCTCCTCTGAAATGCCTCTTCCACCACTCATCTCCCTGCACGAGTGACTCTGCGTCGGTCTATGCTTATGTTTATTATACAGCAGCTGTCTTCATTACCATCTCCTTACTCCACTGTGTGTATGTGAGAGGGGGGTTGCCATGGTGATGCCAGAGCGAGGCTGTGTGGCACCTGGGCCATGGCTTTGCCTCCACACTCTCACCTGGTAGGTGCGTCAGCTAAGGGTGGTTGGGTATAGCTCTAGCACCAGTAAGGCTGCAATGGCATTACAGAGCCTACTTCTAGCTCTTTCCTGCCTCTGTCTTCCCCATGGAGACGAGCATTTAGCAGCGTGTGTGGTAAATGAGGGTCTCCAGGATCATGTTCCTGTGTACTCATGAACTTGCCCACTTAACGCTCATGCCGGCTGCCGGCCTCTCGAGGAATAGCTCCTTGTGGAGTTCATTGGGAGTCTTCTGACTGGAAATCCCCGCACCCATTCACCCATGGAGAGGGTCCCCGGGAACCAGTGAGTAACATTGAACTCACCTAAGGTTAGGGTCCCACTGCGGGGCGACAAGAGAGTCATTTTAGATAAGCATTTCCCAACATCTGTTCCCAGGAGTTCCATGGACAATTAATTGGTATTTAAAGGAAAAGGAAGTCTGTGTGGTCACGTCATGTCAGGAAGGTGCTTAGGTTGAGGCAGACCTAAAGAGGTTATCTGTCATTCGGAGCCTCCGGATTCGGAGGGCATTGTTCTGCTAACGCAGATGCATTAGGAAGGGGTCTGGTAGGTCACAATTCTCAAACATATTTCATCATGGATGACTTTTTTCTAGGCCATCTCAAGAGACTAGCATTTCATGGAACAAACTTTGGAGACTGCTGGGATAAGCAATAGAAGGATCTCCCAGCAGTAAGGAGAGTAGAATGCTGAAGAGACAGCTCAGTCCACTCGCTGCGGGGAGGAGAATTGGGAATAATTAAGCCAGACACGTATTTTCTCTGTGCTCAAGCTGATGGGTATGGCTTTAAAAAAGGAAAAAAAAAAAAAAAAAAAAAAAAAGAGCCCATCATCGTACCGGCAAATTCCCCCGTGGACTTGCATTATCTGACCTCCAATGTGTCCTTGCAGTTGCCACGTGGGACAGAGTCTCTGGGCGCTCTGGTGAGGCAGGCCTTCGCCCAGCAACTTCAGCTGCTTTCTCATGCATTGCCCAACTCGTAGAAGCCCTATCGTCCTTCAGGGTTCATCTCAGATGCCACTTCTTCCTAAGCTCCCCATTCAGAACAAACTGCTGTTGCCGATGGCACCCCCAGCACTCAACTTCTGTTTCTTCAGCACGTTGCCAATTCCAGGCACCTGGCCTTGCCTGGGAGCTGGCCACTTATTTGCCAGCTCACAGGAAGCTCTTAGAGGGTAGGGGCCACCTCATGCCCATCAGACTCCCGCACAGCGTGTGTATGCAGCAGGAGCTCACTCACCACTTACTGGACCTCTGGGCACAGGAAGCCTTGAACAAATGAAAGGGTGTTTTCCTCTAACACAAGAGTTGCTTTGGGCAAGCCACCCTGAACATCACTTAGGCCTACAGACAGGGGAGTGGGCAAAACTACCTGGCCTGGTGTGCTGGTGTACCCGAGGTTTGGAAAAGGTCACCTTCCCTGTTGCTGTCATCGCTTAGCAAATACCAGCACTACTCTAGGGAAGGGAGAACGGCTCACCCCATGTTAACATTATAGTGTGTGTTTGACAGGGGATTGTACAGAAATGCCAGGGATGGCTAGTGCAGGCTTGGCTTTATTGAGTAAACATGACTGTGTAACATCTAACATCCTGTGTGTACTACGTGGATCCAGCCTCTCCCTGGAGGCTTTGCCAAGCAGCTCACATTCAGTAGCATTAAGGGGAGAAAGTGAGAACGAAGAAAGGTGAGCGGGAGCAAAGAAGGAGAGGAAAGCGTAACCACTGCCATCTATAGAGCCGGCACCACCCTAAACTCTCTACAACGTTATCTCTTATAATTTTCACAAAAACCATAAAGTACAGGCATCATCATTAATCCATGTTGCAGATGTGGGCTCTGAGGCCCAGAAAGGTTTCTCATTCAAGGTCATCTAGTTAGTAAGTAGCAGAGCCTGGGTCAAAACGCCTGTGTCTGATTCCCAAATCTAGGCCCTTAATCATCGCATCCCATTGCCTCCCCTATAAATAATCTTTCTGAGTATGGTCACAACAGTGAGCTATTTTTCTTCCAGGGAATCATTTACATGTGTACGCTGTAAAGCTAGAGATGAAAGCTAAGTCTGTTTTTAATTGGGTAGTAAGAAGATTGGTTCTTGTTTGACTTTATAAATTCAGTAAGTATCTGATGGTGACAGTTTGTGCATTTATTTATTCACCCAGGAAATATTTACCGAACACCACTGTGTGCCAGGTACCACTCTAGGCCCTGGAGATACAGTTGAGATCAAAACAGCCAAGGTCTCTATTCCTGTAGAGATGCACAAGCGATCTACACTAAAGAGGCAAACACATGAACTAGCAAGATGATTACAGATGGTGTTATGAAGAGAACAAAACAGGATAATGTGACAAATTTGATGGAAGGGGGTTAAGGGATGAGCCCAGAAGGTGACCAAAGAGGCCTGTCTGAGAAGAGGATGTTGGAGCTGAAAACTAAATGACAGGATGGAGCTGGCATGGGAAGATGTATGGCAAGAGCATTCCAGGCAGAAGGGCCAGCAGGTGCAAAGGCCCCTGGGGGCAGGGATAGGGGGAAGATGGAGGGGGCTAAGCTGGCTGTATTGGAAGGAGATTTTACCAATGTGCCTGGAGCATAGTGATAGCAGATCAGTGAGGGTGTCAATGATTTAAAGCTGGATCAAAGCAAAGGGTAGGTTTAAAATGTGATCTCAAAAGAGGAGAGTGTAAGAGACCATAAACCAGGGGTGGGTAAGCTCTTTCCGTGAAAGTACAGGTGGTAAATCTTTTTCTGTGAAAGTCCAGGCTTTGTGGACCACATGATCTCTGTCATAACAATCTCCACTGTGCTGTCGGAGCATGAAAGCAGCTGTAGACAATATGTAAACAAGTGAGCATGCCTGTGTTCCAATAAAACTTTATTTGTAAGAACAGGCATAGAGCCAGATTTGGCTGTGGGCCTCAGTTTGTTGCATACTGTCTTAGCCGTTACTGGGCGTGAGGTATTAGATACTCCAACTCCCGACTCGTCCATGCAAACCTAGATGGTACAATTAGTGCTGTTAGTGTATACAGTTGCCCTGGGCTTTTCCACCGAAGTCATCCTAACAGCAGAGGAGGGTGAATGTATATCCCCAGGAGATCTGAGGGATGTAGGAAGCATAAAATCTCCTTGAGGCTTCCTGGTTTGCTTAAGAACTAATGTGAATCTTACATTCTACTCCATAATAAATTCATTTGTCTTAGTGTAAAAGTTATTTTTCCCAGAATTTCTGAGAAAAACTGCCCGAACTTCTGAGAAAAACAAGCCAATGAACATTATGGGTCCTGTGTCCTCCAGAACCTCCTGTCCCTGGGGCCTGCCGACCACAGTCTGTGAATGAGGACCCAGGCGGGGACCGCGGAGGCAGCCAGGGTTGATACAGCTGCCTCAGAATCTTTTCTCTGGAGTTCCTGTTGTACCATTTCCTTTGGTGTGTTTTCCCATGCTGCATTTTGTCCATTTGTTCCCTCAGTTGTGCTTTTATTATTTATTCCTCCCTTCCATCATTCATTTGATGTTTGCTCTTAAAACACCTTCTCTGTATTATGCTGTCTGGTATTAGACTACAAACATCTCCCAAATTCCTGAGTTTTTAGAATTTTTAATACACCCCAACTATTTATACTTATTTTGAACTCTACTTTGCCACTTGCTACAAACACCAGAATTCTCTCGGGTTTCAGTCTGATGAGTTGTTGGTGGTTTGCCATACAAGGGAGAACGTGACCTTCACCCGACCTTAGTAGCTCCAAGCATCTTCTCAACCACTGCTCAGCATTCAGGCAGGACAACTCCCAAACTCCTTTGCAGACCTTTCTGGTTGAATATTGGAGTTTATGCTTAATTACCTTGTCACTCCCTCATACGGATCATGTTAGCTACATTTTGCAAAATTGCAAAGCTAATCTTTGTAATAAGGCTTGTATCGTTAAACCAAGTTGAACTCAGTCCTACAGTCATAGCGGTGCAGTCATGCTTAACTCATAGTATAGTATCCCAGGACAGGTGGATGATGGTAATGGTGAGGGTACCAGTAGAATAAGTGATGGTCACAAGTAGTGGTGGAGGTGGTGACAGTAATGGGTGTGAGAACGGAGATGGTGGTGCTGTTGCTCCCGCTGTTACACCGGCGGGAGGTAATGGGGATTCCAGCAGTGGCCCTGGTGATGGACGTGGTGATGTCAGTGAGGGTGGTGAGCCAGGAGCCTCACTGTCTGGCAGACACCTAGGCAACCCCACTTCCTCCTCTGTTTTCTTATCCCAGTGTCCACAGCAACATCCTGCAATGACCCTGGGGTCCCCCAGAATGGGAGCCGGAGTGGCGACAGTTGGGAAGCCGGTGACTCCACGGTGTTCCAGTGTGACCCCGGCTATGCGCTGCAGGGAAGTGCAGAGATCAGCTGTGTGAAGATCGAGAACAGATTCTTCTGGCAGCCCAGCCCACCAACGTGCATCGGTACAAAGCAGCTGCAGTGTGAACCCTCCCCTCTGGTCCCACCACTTGTGTGCTCCAGACCTCCTACCCCCTTAAGTGGCAGCTGCATCATGAGCCTGGCCAGGAGAGTCAGAAGAGCTGAAAGTCGCAGAAAACTCAAAGTCTACTCTGCTTCGCGTGTCTGTGTATACACATACCCACTCGCATTCACACACCCACACTCTACACACTATGAATTCTTCACTCTCCAAAATGGTCCCAAAGATTTTTAAGCCAGGTGTGCCTGTCCCTCTTCTCCTGACCCAGACCATATAGATTGGAAGGAGGACTGTGGATCACCTCGGGTAGCAAGGGTCTTCAGGTTCTGAAATGACCCTTCTATTACCTGGAGCGCTAGAAGGGCACCCACAGACCTGGAGGTAAAGGAAAGACCTTTGCTCTTCCTCTTGGCAAGGAAATTATTGGTTGCCTGGATTTTGGTTCTCCAGATCTGTCCTTAGTCCTTAAATCTCCCCATTTGCCAGATGAAGCAGTGGAGGCTCTGTGATGTGTCCAAGGTCACGTAGCTCGTAAGGGTTGGTGCCTGAGGAATCGATCCTGCTCCCCACTTCCTTAAAGCTGGGAGGAGGAAGGAATTTGAAGGGAGAGGAGGACAGGAAAGAAAGAGAAATTGATGGAAACAAACGTTCCAGGGGCTCACGTCCACATGGCTCTTTTCCTCAGGCAAAATACTGAGTGCAGTTCTCTGCTGTACCAGCGATGGCTGTTAGAAGAGACCAGTAGTCGTGGAGTCCTTACTGTGTGCAACTGGACATTTACTTACACAACCTCACTTAACTTTCCCTGCAGCTCTCTGTAATGAGTACCGTTCCCTCATTTCACAGTAGAGGAGACTGAAGCTTAGGCGACTTTGAGTATCTTGCCTCAAATCACAGAGCCGGGATTTGGCAGAGTCAAGAGTCACACCCACATCAGTCCGAATGCAAAGCTTTTCATTTTCCTACCTCCCACACTGATTCCCACCCCGGAGATGGGCTCAGGGGACTTCCTGAGATGCACCCCAGCATTGCCCACCCCGGCGACGCCCTGCACCTCTTTGCACACAGACTCAAGGGAGGCGCTGTCCAGGCATCTGAGGACTGGCCTTTGCTGGGCATGCTCTGAGGCCTGGTGTTGACACTAAGTCCTGTCCCTCGGTGGCAATGAGGAGTCACATGGGTATGTGTGGTTGGATCTCCATGAATGTACTGCAGACAGGAAGGCGAGACCTGGGTTTCAGAGCAATCTCAGTTCTTAACTATGTGTTGTGATACGTTGAGAGAGTATAGGATATTGAAGAAGACAGATCCAGGTTCAGTTCCTGGCTCTGCCATTTACTAGTTCAGTAGCCTTGGGGAAATTGCTTCAACTCTCTGACCCAGTAAACGGGCAGCCAGCAGAGCGGAGAGGTTAATTCAGCTTTCGTTACCCACTCTTCTGCGCTCGGCGTGGGGAAATGTTCCTCGCAACTAAGTGAACACCTGCCTGTCCTCTCAAACAGTCTGGAAATCCCAGTGACAAGCCCCTAATTTCCAGCTCCCTTGGCAGTCTGCCAGGACGGTCTGGCTGGTCTTCACCCCCCTTCATTATAGGGAGGAAGCAAAGGGCGATAACAAATGTTCATGGAGCGTCATCCCCATGACAGGCGCTGGGCTAGATGTTGTACCTACGTATTCACAAGTGAAATCACCGTGCGTAAGTTTAGAGCTTGGGTTCTGGATTCCAGCTGCCTGGGTTCGAGTCCCGCTTCACCATGACAAACTGTGTAGCCTTAGACAAATCCCTTCATCTCCCTGTGCCTCATTTTCCTGCCCTGTAAAACAGGGAAGATAATAGTACCTATCTCATGGGGTTGTTCTGAGAATTGAATAAGATAATGCTGTAAAGCACTTAGAACCATGCCTGGTTCATAGTAAACACTGTGTGTGTTAGAGGCCATTATCGTCATTATTCTTTCTCTTTTTTTTTTTATTTTATAGATTAGATAACAGAGGCTCAGAGAGGTGGGATGGTCTTGCACAAACTCACAGCTAGGAGGTAGCCGGGTCAAAATTGGAACCCAGGACTGTGTAACATCGAAATCGTTGGTCTTTTTCACAACTCTCACCTGTCGGCACAGCCTGCCCGCTTTTTAGCTGCCTGGAATGATCACCTGTTCCCATTCCAGCCTGGGCAACGTGGTTTGTAAGGTCAAGCCTGGGCCTGAGGATGGAGCCTGCCTTCTCCTTCTAACTCAGTGGGGAGCAGACCGGGCCTGACGGTGGGGCGAGGGGGCGCCAGTGCCCAGGATTGGAAGGGAGGCCTGGCTTCTGGTCCAGCTTTGTTGAGTACCCGCTGAAAGGATGGGGTGCCACTGGGATGTCACCAAGGCCTCATTTAGTCTCCTACAGCTCAGTTGTCCTGCTGGCCAGTGCCTGGGCCTAGGAGGGGAAGGGGGACTTTGTGCCCCTCTGCCAGCCCCGCCCAAGCAGCGGGACCTGTCTGTCCTGTGGGTGAAGCAGCCCAGGAGTCCAGCCAGGGCCTTGAAGACAACTGGCAGAGGGCGGTGAGGCCCACGCCGGGGTCCTGAGTGGGAAGCAGATGCCTGACTGTCCGATACTGGGGAGCCATCTGGCAGGGAGCTGGGCCAGGGCAGGGGCCACGAGCCCAAACACACTGAGGGCACTTTGGGGGTTGGCAGAAGAATAACGAGAGCAGTTTTGAAACACCCAGATTCACCCCACCTGTGGCAGCTTAAGGCAAGGAACCCCTGGGCTGTAAAGGTAGGTCGTGCCTAGCAGCCCTTGCCCGAATGGAGGCATCATTGGGAAGATGCCGCAGTAGCTGGGACTGCTGCCATGACTGGGCTTCCTACTCTCACTGGCTGTGTCACTGTGTTTCTAGCCCAGACTGGGTAGGGCCACTCTCTGTGGACTGCGCTATGTGGTCTTGCTTTGTTAAGTCCAATGTTTTATCCTTATCAGGCAGGCCTCTAGTCTGTCCCATCCATCTAACCATCTTGTCTAGAGAGGGTTCAGTGGAGAAGAAGTGAGTGAGATACAAGGCAGACCAGACTCGAGGGACCATCCTCGCTCCTAGAATCTCTTCACCTGGGGCCCCGCCCCTGCCAGCTTGCAGGGAGGGACAGCCCTCTCCCCTCCCACTGCTGCCAGCGATGCCAAGGCAGTGCAGAAGAATGGGGAAGTGACGGACTTTGGGACCAGGCAGATGTGGGTCTGAGTCTCAGAGTGACTCTGGGCAAGTTCCTTAACCTCTCTGAGCCTCAGTTTCCTCCTTTCTGAGTCAGGAAGAATAATCCATAGCTCAGCAAGTTGTTATGAGACAGAAATGAGATAATGGATCTAAAATGCTGTACGTGTGTCTGACATTTAATAGGTGTCCACTTGAGTGTTTCTGGCACTCAAGTTGGTACTTGAGATATATTCTCCACAGAAAAAAGCCCACACTACTCATGACGCCTCGGGTTTTATGTTCAGCCACGTTAGGGCTTTAATGGCCTGGTCTGAAGACCTACCATTTTGTAAAGAGACCCTGCTGGGGATTGATCCAGCCCTTTAACCTCACCCCGAGTAAAAGCTACACTGAGGCAATAAAGCTCAGCCCTGGGACAAGCAAATGGCCACTCTAAAGTTCAGTCCTGGATGTACCCTTAGCTCCCACCTCCATGTCCATTCCTTTGGGCTCACCATTTGCCTAAAGTACCGCCAACCTCCATTGCTGCCCTGAGGTTTTCAGACCAAGCCATGTTTAGAGTCTCAGCCATCTTTTTCTGTTAGCGGCCCCATACACCCCCAGCCTCTACTTTATCAGACCCTCATGCTATGGAGCAATAACCCAGCCATTTGGGGGAGAACCTGATTCAGGATCTGGGAAGTGCCCCAGAGGGCTCTGGATGAATCGCTTGCTGTATCCCTGGCCACCTCCCCACTCCCTGCCCCTGGAAAGGCCCATCATCTCAGGGGAGGGGGACCACTGTGGACTAATTGGGGTTTTGTAATATCTCCGTACAACAGAGGAACACATGATCTCTTGGACAAAGGCCTTTGAGAAAATTGGAAGGTATCTGCAGCCCTAAGAGCACTGGCAGTGTAGGAGGCCAGGCACACTTGGCAGGTACACATGATTGCTTTCCGCTCCTCCTGACATTAAGTGCGCTGGGACTCGTGGTAAATACCCACAAAGCTCGCCCAGAGACAGGATGTGAGGCCCTGGAAGGAGACCATGTATTTCATATCTAAAAGCCTAGTGATGGCTCTATATATTGACTACGTACGGTATGCCAAGTGCTTTAACAGATATCTCTAAAATCTTTACAACTACCCCCATGAAAGAGGTATTATCTGTGCAATAGAGGAAGGACACTGAGGTCCAGAGAGGTTAGGTAAATTCCCTAAGGTCACACAGCCAGGAAGTGGCAGAGCCAGGTATTTTGGTTTTGCTTTTTAATAACAGCATGGTGAAATTCCCATATCATAAAATTAACCATTGAAAAATGAACAGTTCAGTGACATTTAGTACATTGACAATGTTGTACAAGCACCTCCTCTATCCTGTTCCAAACATCTCCATCACTTGAAGGTGAAACCTCATGCCCATTGCAATCCACCCTCCCCTGGGCCCCTGGAGCCAAGTTCTAATTTAGGTGTATCAGACTCAGTCCCTCCTCTACCAATACCCATTGAAACGTGACCAGGTGAAGGGGACAGTCTCACCCTCATCTTCTTCTCTCTTCAGCTCCCTGCGGGGGAGACCTGACGGGACCATCGGGAGTCATCCTGTCACCAAATTACCCAGAACCCTACCCGCCAGGCAAGGAGTGCGACTGGAAGGTGACCGTCTCTCCAGACTACGTCATCGCCCTGGTATTTAACATGTATGTACCTTTCCCCCCGGTGGGAGATGGAGGGTTCAGAGCAGCGAGGGGTGCAAACCCGGGTCTCTGGGTGAGTATACATAGGTCTGCTGTGAGCGGGGTTTCATCCCAGGGGGGTGAAGGAGTCCAGAAAAGGAGAGAAACCAGCATTTATTAAACATCTCCTGTGTGCCCAGCACTGTGCTCCATGGCTTCACACATATTATTGTCTTATTTAATCCTTAGGATAATTTATGAAGTAGCTATTATTATTTCTTTCTTTCTTCCTTTCTTTTTTTTAACCTCTGATGATGCTAAGGTGCTAAGATGCAGAAAGTAGGGCACTGCTGGGTCCTTTCTCCCCTGCCCTTCTGAATTCTCCTCCTCTGCTCTCACCGGCCCCTCCCATCTGCTTCCCCAGTGTAGGAACAGCCCAGGTGTCTCTCAGCTGCTCCCGCTTCAAGCTCCGCCACCATCTCCTTGGTTTCTTTTAAAAGCAAACTCTTCAAAAGAATTGTCTCTGCTTTTCTCTCCTTCCTCGCCTGTTGTTCACTTTCACATCACTGACAGCTGGTTTCTTCCTCCACGGTTCCACTGGAAACTCCTCTGAAACTCCCACGCACTCCTGGCTGCCAAACCAAATAGCACTTTCCATGCTTTATCCTTTTCATCACTCCCTCCATCCTTCCCCTGCTTCTCCCCTTGGTTTTGTGGACTTACTTCCCGCTGGCCCTCCAGCTCCTTCTGGGACTTTGTGGCTTCTTTTTCATGCCCTTTGCCCTTTGCCAGGCTCTATCACAGATTCCTTGTCTTCTCGCCACACCTCCTTCCTGGACAAGCTCATCCTCTCCGATGCTTCACTCTCCTCTTGTAAACTGGAGACTCCCCTCTACCACCCGCCCAAACTCTCTTGTGGGCTGCAGGCTCCATAGCCAACTGTTGGATGGTCTCTGTCTGATGCCTGCAGGCTCCTCAATTACAACACATACAAAACTAAGCCTCCTGCTTCTCCCCACAGATGAGCTCTATTCTGAAACTGGGGGAGCAGCCCCATCATCCACCTTCACTGCTCCTTCTGTTAGAGGCCGAGGCATGGAGCCTCTACTGCCTTAACCTCAGATTTTCTCTTCTTCTCCATTCCCCCAGCTGCTGGCTTGGTTGAAGCCCTTATTGTTTTCTGTCTGAATTACTGCCATAGGCTCCTAACTGGTTCCTCCCCATCTTTGCTTCCTGTGCCAATCTCGTCTTTAGCTAGCTGTCAGTGTGATGTTGACCCTGGAAAACGCTGAAATATGCGCCTCATTTTCCATTTTAACATACGGTAATATACGACTCAGCAATAAAAAGGAACGAACTACTGACACATGCAACAACGTGGATGAATCTCAAAATCTCCCGCTGACTGACAGAAGACACACCAGAGTACATAATGTATGATTCCACTAATATGAAATTTTAGGATCAGCGAAACTAATCGAGGTGATAAAAATCAGTTCAGTGGTGTCTTCTGGGGGCGGGGATGGGAAGGGGCACCTGGGAAATTTGGGGATGGTGGAAACCTTCTGGATCTTGATATCCATGTGTCAAAACTGAGAGTGATTTACTTCAGAGCTGATTATTTCATGGTGTATAAATTATACCTCCGTTCAAAAACAAAGAAACAAATGTATCCTTTACTTCTGAATCCTATAATGGCTCCTTCTTCTCTATAAATTAAGGTTCCAAACCTTTTGTTTGTTCTGTTTTGGGATTTTTTTTTGGTCCAGGCTTTTGAGTTTCATTCCAAGCCATGTGGCCTCTGCCTACCTCTCCCCTCAGTTCCCCCACCCAGTCCTAACCCCACCCCGTCTAACCCCTGGGCTTCAGACTGAGCTGCTCACAGTCTCCAAAATTATTTCGCGCCTCGTGACTTTGCTTCTGCTTCTCCCTTCATAGCGACTTCCTTTTCCCTCCTTGTCCAATCGCTGAGGGTCTTTTAATGCCCAAGACAAACTTCGTTCCCATCCTCCCCCATAAACCTGGTGCTGTGTTCCCACATGCCTGTACAGACTTTAGACTTTGCTGTCCTCACGTCTGTCATTTCCTTCAGATCCGTCACCGTCTTGAAGAAAGGATGCATCCCTGCGTCCTGGGCACCTTGCACAGTGCCCAGCATACTGAGGGTGCTCAGATAAAACCTGATGATTGATGGAGGGCAGGGGCAGATGGAAGGCATTTTGGAAGTGATGGAGCCGTAATTTGTGACCCAAATTGACCCACTCCCAAACCCTTCCCTGGTGCCCTTTGAGAGAGCCAGTGAAGGGGCTGAACTATGGGAACAAGAAGACCATACCACCCAGCAATGGTGGGGTGACCCTGCAGCTGATACCAGTGTGAGAGGGAGGCCAGTGCACACCTGGCTCTGCCTCCAATCCTCCCAGATCCCCATCCTGTCTCTTTGCAGCCCTACCCCTTTTGTCCTCGATATTTCATGGCCTCATCTCTCTGCCATGTCTTAGCTAAAGGGTAGAACCGCCATTTTGTTCTCAGTCCTGCCAAGTGGAGTGTCTGAGTATCCTAGCCCTTGGTTGGGCTATGAACCGGTTTGCATCAGAACTCTATTCTCTGCAAACTCATTTACTTCTGTTGTTTCCATCTTTACACCCTTGATTGGCAACAATTGCCTTTGTTGGATGTACACCCAAGAGTGGCACCGCTGCATCGTAGGGCACGCATATGTTCGGGTCTAGTAGATACTGCAAAACAGTTTTCCCAAGTGGTTGAACCAATTTACACTCCCACCAGTAGGATATGAGCGTTCTAGTGGCTCCACGTTCTTGCCAGTCCTTGGTGTTTTCCATCATTTTCATGCTAACCATTCCAATAGGGCAAATTACACTCAAAAACTCTAATATTCAGTTTGCTAAGCTAAGACAGTTTGTAAAATGAGTTTTTTCCTAGACTAAGGTCAGGATTGCTGAGAAAGAGGCATACCTGTGAGAGCCAGGAGTGGGATGGGAGCAGATCCTGAGGAGAGCTGAGAACCAGCCCCAGGGTAAAGGAATAAAGTGAGGGTCCTTCATCAGAATAGGCCCCTTCCTGCCTGGGAATGGCTCGTGGCGTGGCTCTTTCCCCTCAGGAAAGGGGGTGCAACGTGGACAGTATAAAGACATGAGAGGCAGGTGAGAGACCTGGGTTCTGACCACTCTGTGTGTAGAGCTGGTAGCTGATTTTCCCTTCTGTGCACAGTGTAGTAAATATAGACAACAATATTGTGTTATCAACATCAAACTTGCTAATAGGCTAGATCTGAATCACTCCAACCACTAAAAAGAAACGCTAATTATGTGATGTGTCAGAGGTGCTAATTATTGCTACAATGGCAATCATATAACAATGGACAAATGTATCCAATCAACATGTTGTATGCCTCAAATTTACATGCCATGTCAAATATATTTCGATTTTTAAAAATATTTTAGCTCCAGCTAAAATAGGTTTTCAACTCCAGCTTTCTGGACACCGATGCTAGAATCTGGTTCCTCCTCCCGAGGCTGCCTTATCCACCTTCTCTCCCTATTGGGAGGTCACGGGGGCTTCATCCTCCCCCTCCCCACCAGTAGGTCTTGGGTTGGGTGCTGGGGGGATGGAGACCCTGTCCCTCGGTCGAACCCGAGGCCAGTACCGTCTTTATTTGACCTTAGTGGGATGGGGGCGGGATGTTTTTGTTCCCCAGCTTTAACTTGGAGCCTGGCTATGACTTCCTCCATATCTACGATGGACGGGACTCTCTCAGCCCCCTCATAGGAAGCTTCTACGGCTCCCAGCTCCCAGGCCGCATCGAGAGCAGCAGTAACAGCCTCTTCCTCGCCTTCCGCAGCGATGCGTCGGTGAGCAACGCCGGCTTCGTCATCGACTACACAGGTGAGGGCCCCGGGAGCAGAGATGACGAGGGTCCTGGGAGCAGAGGTGACGAGGGCCCTGGGAGCAGAGGTGACGAGGGTCCTGGGAGCAGAGGTGACGAGGGCCCTGGGAGCAGAGATGACTGAGAGCAGGGCTTGCCAGACCTGGCCAGGGATAGGGAAGGTGTAGTGTGGCGAGGAGAGCGCTGGACAGGATCACGGGGAGCCCGCTGCCACCTGCAGAGCCCCTGCCTCTCTGCGGCCCTCTGGGTGGCTTAGTCCCTCACACCCAGGTGCCCCAGGCCTGGGAGAAAAGGGGCTTCACGTTCTCCTTGCACCTCATTTCTGCTTCCACGTCACTACTCCCCTTCGCTCCTTGTTCTATGAGGATCATGCCTAGGTCTTCTTGAGTCTCAGCACCCCAGCTCATGCCATCAGCTGACATCTTCATTGCCACGCCCCTGCATTTGCTGAGGGTTCTGATATGAGGCTCAGTCCTCCTCTCTACCCCAAAGCATCCCACCCTCCTGGATAACTTCAGCACCCATGTGGACAGCCCATCCAGCTCCTGAGGGCACAGTGCCTGGACCTTTGTCCCAAGGCCATTCCTCGGCTATCCTCTAGCTCCTTGTCGTAGACTGGATGCTTTCTGATACTTCCTAATCACATTTTCTCATCCCTCCAGCTATCCCATCCTTTTATTCTCATTCTGCTTTTAGATTAATGAAGGCAAGATGAAGAGTGTGAGGGTCGAGAGCCGAGGGTGCCAAATTTTTTCTTAAAGGGCCAGGCAGTAAATAGTTCAGGCTTGCGAGCCACGCGGTCTGTCTCGGTTACTCAACACTGCCCTTGTAGCATGAAAGCACCCAAAGACTGAACAGAAAGCAACGGGCATGGCTGTGTTCTAATAACAATTTGCTTACAGAAACAGGTCTTGGTCCTGTCCAGTCAAGAGCATTGACAGATCAACTGGGTGCAGGGCTCGTGTTTGTTGTGTGGCCTGGAGCACGGCTCCGAAACGCCATCTCTTCATCTGTAAGATAATGGTGGAATAATTCCTACAGCACAGAAACATAATTGATGAGTCCACGCCTTAAAGCCCTTGGTCTGGGCTCCGGCACCTTCCAGACATTTTGTAATGTTCACATGGTAGCAGCAGCAGGAGTATTCCAGGCTCTCGAGCGCTCCGCTTTCTTCTACTCTGCTATTCTCTCTTAGACCTTTTCTTCTTCTCTAATGAGCCCAGGCCCCGTTATCCAAATCCCAGCTCCATTGTTTGCTTGATTGGTGAGCTTGGCAAATTATTATCTCTTGGAACCCATTTCTCCATCTATAAAATGGTGATAATAATAGTTACATTGCAGAAGATATGTTATATGTATAAATGAAATGTGTGAGGATAATGCCCGATATGGACTAAAACACTCTGTAGGTCCTGTTGAGATGACCGATTTTATTATTGCTACTGTAACCCAGGTTCACCCAGGCCTCATCAGCCTGTGTGTACAAATGGGGTCACAGTACCAGTTAAAATTAAAAAGCTCCCGGCTCATGTCCCCCACTTGCATAATGTGGGACCTCAGCAACCTTTTAAAGTGTCTCTTAATTGAATATTTGTGGCAACTCCTGGGGATATCTCACACGAGCTCACAAACAATCCCAGTCATAATGGTAGTTAACTTAGCGCCTGCCAGCTGCCAGCAGTATCCTGAGCAGTTCACATCCATCAACTCACCGAAATCCTCGTCACCCTCCATCGCTTGCTGTGTGCCAGATACAGTTCTAGAAGGTGCTTGGTGTGCAAGTTAGAGAATGTTTTGCCCGTGGTCATCTTTTCTCATGGGGCTGGCCTGGGAAGTGGCTACTTTGCCATCCTGTCTTCCTCCAGACACCTGCCATTCGATAAACCCCCTGTACTCAATCTCCACACGCTGATGTCAGAACAAACACAGTCACAAGTTGTGGGATTCTATCCGAAGGCATGACTTAGACTCAGCCTGGGGACCCCATTGCTCCGCCCACCACCATCCCTACTGCCGTATCGTCATCATCATTTTATTATTATTCATCTCTTTAATCACGCTCTCATCAGTCCCCTCAATTTTCCTGCCCCCCGATCCTTCCAATGCCTAAACCTTGCACAACTGCATCTTTTATTAAATGCACACTCAAGTGGCTGAGCACAGCCAGAAGTTGCACAAACATGGCACTTGGAGCCACCACAAGTGATATCCTTCAACCCCAGCCACTTGAGGTTAAAGGTTAAATGACCAGAGCCACACCTGACTCATCCCACCTGGGTCTTCTACATCACAGAGATTCTAAACTTTTACCCCAGATGTCACCACTTCCAGCCTCTTACAAGATGACTGCATTTCATCATCCCTGGTTACAGTGGCCACTGGGCAGAAACTCCCTCAGCTTCCTCCCTGGTCACCTTGTTCCTGGCAAACTGGCTGTGGCCACCTCTCCCCCAAGTCTTCTCCATGAATCCATGTGCTAGAGCTACACTTCTAGGTCCTCTTTTCCAAAGAAGCCCCTTCCACGTTCAGCTGTTGGCCCAAGACCATATCTAGAGGGATCCTCAGATCCAACACACAGCTCCAGAGAATAAAGTCTTCCGGGCTGCCATCTGAACCAGGCAAGCAGCTGAAGGAGGCCAATTACTGGGGAGAGGGGAGGGGGAGGCACAACCCCCCCACGCACCCTCTACCACCTTATGAGGATCTGTGGTACAAGTGCCAAATAAATGTGTCTGCTTGGGGGGGGAGGTACCTGGTGAGAACTGGAGCTGCCCTCCTTCCTTCCTTCTCAGATTATACACCTCCTAACATGGGTGATCCCTCTACTATGTCCCTAGCCTCTGGTCAGGTAGCCTATTTGATGGAGCCCAGGGACACCCTGTCTTACCCCATGGTCTCCTTCTCCATATCGCAGGATCCCTGGATTCCTGGAATGGGTCTACTCTGCTACTGGATCCCAAGGACTAGACGATATTCCCCCATGTTCAATATCTGTATAGGGGAAACTGCCATCACTTATCACCTGTGCGGCCTTAAACAAGTTACTTAACTTCCCTGACATCCCTTCCTTGTCTGTCAAAGAGGGACAGTGACTCCATAGGAAGGGGTTGTTGTGAGGGCTGGTCAATAGGCACAGCACCTAGCAGCGTGCCCCATACCAGTAGGTAGTTGTCACATACTTTGATCCAACTTCTTCCATTCCATTGCCTTTTCTTCCTGGGTGATGCCTATTACATTCATTCTGCCCTTGTTTGGAAGGGAAAACCTCTCTTCATGGGGCTAGCCCAGTAGAATGAAACAGATTTTCTTTTCTGTTTATTGAAGATATAAAGTATGAATATGATGTTTCGTACACGCATATATATGGGAGTGTGGGATTTATATATATACGTGTATATATATATATATATATGAGTGTGGGAAATATATGAATATTCGTGATGTGTGTGTATGTGTGTCCTGTATACTTCTCCAATCCATGGCAAAGAATTTAGACACTGTACTCCCTGCGAGTCCGTAGAACACCCTGGATTGAGATGGTAGCCCATGGACGACTTGCACACTGAGCCAGGTGTGGATTCTTAGGAAAAGAAGAATTGACCTCCTCTATCTAGAAGCCATCTTCTGTCCAAAGGCAGAGAGATCCAGGGCTCCACTAACGCTGAGGATCTGGGTCTCCTAGGAGCTGTGGCTTCAAGGGTTCTGCTCTGGGAGGTGTTTGAGGACCGACTTGGAGAGGTGTTGCCAGACTCAGCTGGGCTTAGCCCAGTGAAAACCACTCTCTGACCCAGGTCAACTCCTCCTTTGACCCAAGGTGAACAGACCAGGAGCCTTTCCCCATTTCCCACCAGCTTCCCAAGGGGGAAGCAGAAAGAGTTTCATCCCATCTTAGTGAGGGATCATTTAGTTCATATCAAGAAACTCACTCAGACCAACTTAAGCAGAAAAAGGAGCAATTTATTATAAAAAAAAAATGTGAAAAACAGAAACACTTAAACCAAGTTGAGACAAAAAGAAGACTTTATTATAAGAAAACAACTAACAGCCAAACTGATTTAAGCTAAAGAGCATCCTGTATTTTAACAATACAGATGATAAACGCCCACTCTCACTTAACACCGACAGGGAATACATTTTTAGAATACAAGAGCCCAAGGACAGGAAGCGTGACCTCCCAAGGGGATTACAATCAGGATGGGAAAATCGGAGGTTGAAATCACCCTCCTCCGTCTCCAGGACCACTCTGTCTCCTCCCTGCTCCTCTCTGAGTACACGCTACATTCGCCTTTCTCTGCAGGTCAATTTTCATTGCTTCTCCATTCTCCTAGGACAGTAGGGCTGCCTCACTCTTGGCTTTGAATTACTTCCCAGTTTGTAGCGCAACTCCAAATCCCAAAGGACCATCAGATTGACAAGCTTAAGTCAGGTATCCACTGAGTGGTGTCGTTAGGTGGATTAGGTGGTGGATTAGGCTTTTGCATAAGGGGCAAAGGCAGATCAGGCATTTTGATTCATTTGTTCACTCAATAATATTTATTGAGCACCTACTATGTGCCAGACACTGTTATAGGGGCTAAGAACAGAGCAGGGAACAAAACAAAGTCCCGGCCTCCATGGAGCTCACATCCTAGATCGACAGGCATTTCTACTACAAATGGGATGTTGGAAGCCCACCTGATTACAAGACAAAGATGGGTGGGTGGGGTGGATTTGTAGATGTCTCTGTTCCGTTGCTCCTGGAAGGTGGCTGTGCTGTGTTAGTCATCTCTGGGCAGGCCTTCTAAGAGATGATTCTGAATTCAGTCATGTCAACTGTGGATTTCTATTACACCATGCTCTGGCACACTTCTCATCTGAATGCAGCCTCCTGGGTAGTTTTACCCTCTGCTAGAAGGATGCAAAGGGAAGGAGGAGGATCCTGTCTTTTGAACACAGTTATTAAAAATGAGTCCCAGGGAGGTTTAGTGTCTTTTTTCAGGCCAGAGAAACCAATGGGATG